TGTGCATCCCTCTTTCTCCCTCTCCCTCTCTCCCTCGCTCTCCTTTTTTTTCTCTCCGCTCCACAGAAAAGTAATTCTGTTGTAGAGATGGCACCAGGTGCACGGCGTGACCTCACACACACCAAATCGGGAGCTGACATCCATCACACTTTGAAATTTTGGATTTCATCATTTCCTGATCTTTCTAAAGGGATCACAGCACCTGGCCCTCACAGCTGTAGTTCATTTAGAAAGCAATTTAAAAACTGAGAAAAAAAGCAAATGACATCTTGCTGCCTCAGCCTTGTCATTAAGGATAGCAGAATGGCCTTCATTTATGAGGCACATGGCTAAGAATTAATATCTTTCAGGGCTTTCTCGAGTAGGGATTACAAAAGGTTTGAAAGACCACTAAATAATTAGTAGTATCACTGAAGCAAGCAAAAAGAGAGGGAGAAAGAGAGAGAGAGAGAAAGAGAGAGAGAAAAGAAATCCCTCTCTTTTGCTCTACAGAGGAAAATCAGAAATCACACTGGCTTTAGCATGTCCTAAATATTGGAACCTAGCATCCCAGCACCCATTACAAGCCACTTTCATAGTTTTTCTTTGATTATGCTTCCTACATAGAGATTTCCAACACTTTCTGTGGATATATAGAGTCTACATCTCCTAATTCCATTCATTAGATGTAAAATGTAAAGTTTTTGTTTTAACGATTGCGATGATGGCTCTGTGTCCCTGGATGAACGCTGCCTTACCTGTCTTGCAGTTATCTGAGACTTTCCCTACCCATTTTAAAAGGGCTGCTAGCCTGGTGTAACAGGGCTAACGGGGACATTAATCCTTATGACAACTATGACTTGCAGAAGTCACCAAAAAAGGTGACTAGATTATATAGTCTAGATTTTCTCTTTTCTTACATTCTTTAGCCACATGAAATTTGGAAACCCTCCCCTATTTAATCTCTAAATTGTTATTCTGCAAAATGAATGAGTTGATTTGGCTTGGTGCCACATACTTGTACCCCAGCACTCTGGGAGGCTGAAACAGGAGGATCAGAAGTTCAAGACCTGTCTCAAAATAAAAATTAAAATAAAGTTAAAAAGAACTGGGGATATAGCTGAGTGCAAAGGCCCCGATTTCAGTCCTCAGTAACACACACACACACACACACACACACACACACACACATGGGCACACGCATGCATGCACCCAGAATGGGTTAAAAAAACAGGGCTTCTAAAATCTTTGCAAGTTCTAAGATTCCAGCACACTGAACAGGATTTCTGAGAACCACTTGACAGTCAGCTCAAGAGTTCTGCATGCACAATGCTAGGCAGTTTCCCAGACTACAGAGACAATAAGAATGAAGTGCTAAGTTGCTTCCTTTTTCAACAATAATTATTTTTGGAGGACTGCAGTACTCTAGACGGTGCACTTACATGGATGGACTCTTCCTTATTTCCCTTCAGGATGAGCACAAAGGGGCGGGCTCTTTACTTTTGTAGAAACTGGGGCTTAGGTGGCTACAAGCAAGTAGCAGAGTGACCTGGAGTGATGTCTTAGTAGTTTTGGGAGTCTCCCTGGCTGACTTCCTAAAATAGTGTCAGTTTCTTCAGCACGAAACTTTGATGGCAAGTAGTTCCCCTCATTCTGCACCTCACCCCTGCACTTATTCATATCCTTTTTAGAGAACTGGTGTTTAGCTCATCAAGGTTAAATTGCCCTGCTAACTAGATATTACTTAACGTTCACTAAAATGTACACAACCCTAAATATTTCAGAAAAAAATATGATGGAAGAGAAAGAAAAGAAACATTTTGAACAGGATCCCAGGAGCTAACATTTGCCCAGATGCCTTCCAAGTGTATGTCACTGATTCCTCCTGACCACCCAATAATATGGATTTTATAATTCATGCTTTATCCCAAAAGATCCAGGTGGGTGAAGGTTAAACAGCTTTCTGTGATGGACAGAACTGTGGCATCTTCTGAGTGTTCTCTTGCTCTTTCTATGAGCTCTGACTCATTGTCACATGCCTGCTGGCCCCTTGGGTGTGAGGAGGAAGTTTTATGGTCTTACTGCTACTGTGTGTGACTGGGCAGCTTTCTGTGGCCAGTGGGTAAGCCACATGCAGCATGTATCTACCCCAGAGCAATACAGTCCTCCGAGTCACTGCCCACTAGTTCTCCTATATTATGTTTCTGCCAAAGTCATGTTCTTGTTCCTGTGTGACTTTTCCTTGATCCTTGGTCCCCTCATGAGTAGAGGACTTGTGGAGCAGGATATGAGGTAGCAGCAGGCAAGTGCAAGGAAACATGGATTTGCTTTGGTAAGTCGCCAGTGTGTCCTGTAGTTGTTACCACTATCAGATGCAGCAAGCACTGTACAGCCCACAAGCATCTTAAAGGAAATGTCTGTTCAGCTCTGATATTATTCAAAGTACATGTTGCATTCTGATTGACCCATGGTTCTATTTTAAAATAGTGCTACCCACTGTCTTCATTAGATATGGAGCATAAAACAAGGTGTGAGGAGCATTGGGCCATAAATACTTCATCTACATGCTCACCATAGGAAGATCATTCACTACAAAAGTAGGTTTCACTTAACCTCAGCATGACAAAGAGGCACAGCTTGATCTTTAGGAACACACAGACAGGTGACCGTTTTTGAAAGGGGATGTTATAGTGAGGTTACTGGCATTAATTCATCTGCAGTTGAGAGATAGTAATGCAGTCAGGCTTTAAATGCCAAGTATGCAGAAAGAGTTCTGGTTCATCTTTCCGGATTTGTTCATCTATGTATTTATTATGTCTAAGAAATCAGTTGATCTGTTTCAAGACAACTATAAACAGTTGTCAGCAATGGAGCCATTCTCTTAATAAGTCCAGATATGTGTTGATTCAAAGTCATGTCCAAGTATGTAAGACAAGATTGTATGTACTGGATAAAGACCTCCATCTCTTTACCTGGGACAGAGGGTTTTTCTGGATTCTAAAACTTTTCATGATTAAACTAGGACCGTTACAGGTGAATGGTTGATCCATCTATATGATGTCAATAGATTTTCTTTAGTTTTATTGTGGAATCTTTTTACTGTAAAATTCCTCCTTCCAGAAACATTGTCTCTTTGACAATAGTCCAAAATTATAATGAATTTGTCCTCAGAAGGTTAAAAATCAGTCTGAACTCCATCAATCATTTGAAGGTTATTTTTGCATCCAATCTCACTCTTCCTTTTATTGTGTCATTTTTCACTAAAAAGCCCCTTGGGGCCAATAGAGGTAAAGATTTGGATTTATCAACTCACAACTAGAGGTCACAATGGCCTGGTGAGGGGGAAAAGGCACTGATTGCTGGGCTCATCTGAGGTCACTTTTACAGGTAAGATTAATTATCAACTTGATTTGCTTGGAAATTTCCCAGGGGACTGTTAGAGCACACTTCTGGGTATATGTATGGATCATGGAGGTGTGACCTTGGGGTCTATAGTGTGGATAACCACACTTTCTTTGTGGAGCTGTTCCCCTTCTCTGCTTCATGGTTCCCATGAACTGAGCAACTTCATTACCCCCACACTCTTCTGCCATAGTATTCCTGCCTAGGGGCCAACTGACCATGGACTAAATCTCCCAGAACCATGAGCAAAAATGTCCTCTCCTTTAAGCTGTGGCTGTTGGGTATTGTGGTCCAGCAACAGGAAAGGTGATCAACAAAATCAGGTAATTTAGAATATCTGGGGGGAAAAATGGAGCCCTGATATATCATATTGGTTCTGCTTTTGTCATTTGCCTTTACTGTATTTTTATTTTATGTATTTATGTATTTATGTATTTATTTATTTATTTATTTTCCAGTACAGGGAATCAAACTCACAACCTTGCGCTTGCCAGGCAGGCACTGTGCCACTGAGCTAAATCCCCAGCCCCTGTATTTTTATTTTTAAGACTCCCAAGTAATTCTAATGTATAGAAAGCGTTATGAACTTCTAAAATGGCTCAGCACCCTAATTAACAACAGCAACAAACTTTCCTGCAGAAGTTAAATGTTCTCTTGTCAGCTTTCTACAGATTGCCAGCAGCAGTTCTTAGAAAAGAAAAAGGTAAGGAAGTTAAACTGTGATCCCATATTCTCTCATCAGAGTTTCAACTGGGTCACTGTAATTTGGTGCTCCTTTTCTGCTTCCCTCTTATTCACTGTATCCCAGAACTAGGAAGTAACCATAGGAGCAGAACTGGTTTGTCCTACTCAATGTGACTACAAGTTTTTAGTCAAACAGGTTATCCACACTATGGTGTGCTATCCTCCTTCAATAACTAACCTTGTCAGTTACTAAGGGATCTGAGCATAGTGTAAGTCCAATAAATCTCCCAGCAGTCAAAAAGAAGTTTCCTACCCGACAGACATCACTGGTAACTTTCTTGCCATGATATTGATTGCTTAGCTCCCGGTTGGACCAGGTAGGATGTGGAAGAGCAGGGACCTAGCATGCCTCTTACCCTGAGTATTTTGCCCATTTCCACCAGCAGGTCCCCTATTACAGTACAATAGAGAGATAATCACTTTCTACATGAACCATGACATGAAAAATGCCATAATACATTGAAAATAATATTAATGCATTCTTCTCAGTGTCTCTCTTCTGATGCTGTTGTCCTCTTGACACTGTATTTTTTGAAGAGTCTAACCTTTCAAAGTACTGAAGAGAGAGCCTTGATTTACTTCATCTTACTTCATTCTTGTTTTGTTTTGAGACAGGGTCTCACTACGCAGTTCAGGTTGGCCTTGAGCTCATTTTGTAGCCCAGGCTAGCCTTGAACTCACAACGATCCTCCTGACTCAGTCTCCCAAATGCTGGGATTACAGGAGTGTACCACCATGCCTGGCCCTCTTACCTCATTCTTAAAGCAGCCTTGTTTGATTTGTTATACAGATCAGAAGAAGGAAGACTACGAGCTGAGAATTTTTCCAAAATCACACAATTAATAGGGTAGAAGTGATATTCAAAGCTGTTTAACTGCTTTTTATTTATTTATAACATTACACAACTTCTTAATTTGCCTGAATGCCATCTTCATGGTCAAACCCAACATTAAAACAATACCATGACTTTGGCTTGAAAGGGAGGAAGTTTCTCTGAGGTGTTGGCTGATTTTCCAGTTCAACATTCTTCCCATGGAAACCAGAATTAAGACCTAGAGAAGAGAACTGAATGATTCAAATCTGATATATTCAATACAGGCTGCCTTGGCCAGATGCTGAATTCCACACAATTCCAGTAGTGGTCAGGGCTGGCTCTTGCCCAGCTATGGAGAGAGACCACCAAGAGCTAGAAATACCTGCCTCATTGGAATCTCTCTATGTGCATGAGTGTTGGGGCCATGCCATGGGGGTGATCCTAATGATTGGATTTGTGGTTCATTCCTTTTTTCACAAGGCTGAGGCTCTGAGTCATGCTAAATCACTCTGACCTCCTGAGGGGCTGGCATCTGAGTAGCTGAGATTAGTGACAAGAGCTCTGTAGCCATAAGACTGAGCCCCAACAAGATTCCTGCACATAAGTCTTGGGTGAGCTACCCTGGCTGACTGCCACATATCTTTGCTGGAATATTAGGTGTTGTCCAGGTGACTGTGCTAGGAGAGAAGCCTGTGCCTGGCCTTTGTAGGATCTCACCCTATGTTCCTTTTCCCTTTGTGGAGTTTGATCTGTGCCCTTTCACTGTAATAGACTGCAATCATGAAAATACTTTTCTCAACTCTGCAAATCCTCTTAACAAATCATCAAACCTGAAGGTGAATTATTGGAGACTTGTATACTGAGAAAGGCAGAGGGTTTTCATGTGCCTATTATGGTTGCCTGAGCTAAGAACAGGTTCACATATTGGCTACAGAATGTACTAAGAATTTCATAGTTATTCACCTCAAAGGGGAGAATTCTTCAGAAAAGTTAAAAGCACATACAAAGTCAAAGCGTAGGCAAATGCTCAAATGTGTGGCAGGACCCTCCATTGTTTTAGAATATTGAAACATGTGCATCATGTCCTTTTTCTTTTGCAATTGATGCCCTTGAAAGAATCCAATCTTACTAAGGGCATTTGCTCAGAGGTAGATTAATGTTCTCAAGCTTGGGCGATAAACTAGGCTACTGATATACACTTATTATTTTTTTTCTTAACAACCACAAAAAGCTGCCAACTTCATAAAATGAAGAAGGTTTTCATAGGAAAGATAGATCTTAAAAACATTGGAAAGCCAGGCCATTCTTGCTAAATAATCTCTTTCCCTTTTTTCTGTCTTTGGTTCAAAGAAGGAAAATGTGTCACAAAAACACATATTTCCTTCCTTCTTCACAAAGCAGTGCCCTTTATGAGCTGGTGATGTCCTGATTCTAGTTTCTAAAGTCCACATTTCAAAATCCTACATTTCAGAATGTGGTCTTATAATCTCCTTTGCAGTGGTCTTTAAAAACAAGTGAAATATGTGAACTTTAGAAAGGGAAGTAGCAAATGGCCAAGCTAGCAATCTTAAAAATGGATTTTACTAAGAAGAAAATTTTCAATTAGATCTTAATCCCTAAAAACCAGACGTATGTTAATTTAAGAAACATTACAGAGTTTGAACACTGTCCCTCTTACATTTCCCCCAAAGCTGCAATTGTCAGGACAAAAAACATCGTCCCTTCTTCATAAACATCTTAAATGAAAATACACCAGACAGGAAGTTAGGGAGTAGGCCTACCAATGAGCTTTTGCTTATTTCTGGTTTTGTGTGCTTTTCAAGGAAAGCTTTCTTGAAAGAGCAAAGATAACAATTTTTTTTTAAAAGAAAAAGCTTCCCAGTGACATACATTTTCAAAAGAAACTGGAAGGAAATAATATTTCAAGTAAGGGCATGGTCTGGTAAGTCTTAAGCAAAACTGGCTCCATTCAGAAACAGAAAAGGAGCTGAAACTGCACATTTTCAGACAGAACTGTTTCCACAAACCAGGACAACAGCCTGGGTCAACAGAGGGCTATATTGTCTGGCACAGTGGTACACATCTGCGTAAGCCTAGCCCTCTGGGAGGCTGAGGCAGGAGGATCACCAGTTCAATCCCAGTATGGACAAGTTAGGGAAATCTCGTCTCAAAAAAAAAAAAAAAAAAGCTGGAGATGTAGCTCAGTGTTAAGACCCTGAGTTCAATCCCCAGTAGAAAAAAAAGGAAAAGAATAGAAATGGCTATAAATGGCCAAAATTAACTGCCTGGAACCCATTTCCCTAATTACTTCTTAGCATTTTAAAAAGCAAAAAGGAGGGGCTGGGGATTTAGCTCCGCGGCACAGCGTCTGCCTGGCAAACACAAGGTCGTGAGTTCAATTCCTGGTATCGAAAAAAAAAAAAGAGAGAAAAGGATGCAAACATGGTTTTTACTCTACATGGAGCTATGCATCTTCTCCTCTGTCCTGGAAGTGCTGTGTTAGCTCGGTCCCAGTGCAGACACACCGTGAAAGTTGATGGTGAAGGCCCCACAGCACCATGGTGGCAACCTCCACAGTTCGTCTCTTCTCTGAAAAAAAAAAATCACAAGCTTAGAAATCTTATAATGAGTCCATCTAAGCAGGGAAAATAAAATGTACTATTTTTATTATTTAATAAAAAATATTTTATTAATATTTATTTAATTTATTTAAAATATTTATTTAAAATATTTCCAGTTCTAAATTGTATGCTGTCATATGCATTTTGGAAACCACGGTTTTCTATGAGTTTTTACTGAGTTGAACTCTTGGTTCAATTTGATTAGAATGATAAGGTCAAATGTATGAGTAGATCCCCAGTAGGGTCGTGTACATCTTCCTATTAATACCAACTGCTGGGGAGGGCTAAGGGCCCTTTGAATATTGGTAGGGACCAAAGGATCTCTGATGAAAGCTTCACAGGGATGCAGATCTGGCTAATGATTCATTACTTGTTCTTTGCTCCCAGACACTAGTTTTTTCCTGTCCACCTTATGGTTGGTACCAGGTTTCTGCCTGGAATCACAGCAAGTTGAATGTGTCCTTTCTTCTTATTCTATTTAGCAACCATTAATGGGAAAACTATTGTATAAATTATGTTAGTGTCCTTCTCTGTATGTCCTGATGATTATTTATGAACTAAATGAATGAATGAACAATACTATGAGGCCATCCATTAATGGGGAGGTATACTCATCCACCTTGATATATCTTACAAATTATTAATTTTATATTTGTGGAGAGAGATTAAATATAGTGGCTATTAACATAAATATGCTTGGAAGAGTTTCATTCTAGTGATATTTTAAAATTAAAATTTTTTAAGTGCCAACAAGTAGCATTTACATTATTTGTTGTGTTCTACCATTTTGTCAAGATAATAAAATATTGTTTGGATATAAAAAAAGAGATCTGACTACACCAGCCTGGGTGGTGTGCAAACCATCTGTTTAGGTCCAAAAACATTCATAGAGAATAAAAATGTCTATAATATGCTTATGACATTGAGATTTGAAATCTTAAGTACAGAAGTCAGTAAATGTCCTCAGGTGGTAACTTGCAGAGATAGACAACAAGCAAGACAACGGGCAAGTTACCAGTGGTAGTCAAAGGTGTCTACAAAGAAAGCTAATACAGTGCAAGGCAGGTTGCAGGTAGAATTCTTTTATTTCATGTTATGATGCTATGGTTCTTAACTGCCGTATGTCATTGCGACCTCAGTATGAACCACTCAGAAGATTAGTAAAGCTCTGGATGTGCCTGTGGATGCCTGATATATAGGGCAAAAACTAAGTGGGATGGCTCACACTGGGTGTGGATGGCATCAGTGGAATAAAAAGAGGAAGAAGGAAGTCTGCCCTTTTATTTGGAGACCTCCAATCTTTGCCATTGCCTTTGGACTGTGATCTACAATCCTCCGGTGCAGACTCTTGAGCTTCTCAGCAGACTCTTCAGCCTTCTACACAGACTCATAAAATTACTACAGTGAGTCCCCAGGTCTTCGATCTTCAGTTGCTACCAGACTGTCCAGCACTCCAGTGTACCGACCACCATTTTGGATTCTTCTGCTGCTGTTTTCGCAGACAGACATTGCTACTCTTCTGCTTCTGATACTAGAAGCCACCTAATAAATTCCTTTGTATAACTATACATACATTTTATATTCCTTTGTATAACTATTCATACATTTTATGTTCCTCTAGTGAAGCCTCACTAATACAAGTTGCGTAAGTGCAAATCTAAAAGCCACGGACCTGATTGAGTTCTTGATCAAACGGAGCACTCATATATATAAGGTACAACCATCCACCAGCATGGTCTTTTTTCCTCTCAAGGATAGATGGGAGAGATTTCTCCAGTCCTCACTTAGTCCAACATTTTTCTTATCTCCCACTATAAGCCAGATGCTATACAAGCTATTCATGCCCTAGGATCATGTGCTGTTCACCTCCAAGGTGAGTTCTATAGCATGAATACCATCTTTTGGAATCAAATGCAATTTATTTTATTTTAAAAATAAAAGGAGGAAAAACATTAACAGACAGACAGCATTTTACAACATAGCAAAAGAACAGTACAGACAATACGGAGTTACAAACAAAGTGGTAGGGAATTAACAATGGTTGTTGTATTACATATTGATATCTTCAAAGTGGCTTCTCATGAAAACAGGTATAGAAATGAAATACTGATCAACCAAAGACTCATTGACAGTTTCTTACAGCATAGAAATAGAAGACAGAAGAACAACCATGTTAACTATCCTATATATACCTACATACAAAATTTCTCCTTCTTTCCCTTCTCTTTTCCCACATCCCAGTTGCCCTTTACTCTTGAGTGGTTTCCTATCATTTCACAGTGTCTATGCAAATTTGAATTCAATACTTCCACTTAAGATCTAAGGAAATCTATAGGCTTTCTGAAAAATCAATAGTCTTTATTTCCAGAATAAGTAATGCAATCAGAACAGCATAACTGATATAACTTCTGTTTAAAATGATGCTACAGGAATGTAGGTAATATAAAAAATATGTGTGGTCAACAGGAGGGCAGCCAGAATCGCATGGCTGCCAAGAAGACATAATTACACAATGCGGCTAAGTTTGCGTAGGTCCTTAGAAGTATGAATGTGGCCCTTCATCTATTCCAAAACAAGGAGAATATTTTCCTTGTTATATTAAAATAAATTTAAGAAAAGCTTTGGCAACTTCCAAATGCTTTTGTGTGTGTGTGTGTGTGTGTGTGTGTGCGTGTGTGATGATTATCCAGTTCAAAACATGCCAGCTATCTCCACATGAACTGTATTCTAAAAGAATGCAATCTTTGTGCATTGCAAGTGTATGCTAATAAATAATTTAAAAGCTTTCTGAAATAAAAGCTAAGAAACAGAAGAAATATTGCTATAGGATCTTATATTAGAGCTTGGGTTTTCATACGTATTCAAGTTCATTGTTATCAAAAACTTTGGGAGCAAAACCATAAGCACAAACCAGTGTATCCTGGATTCACTCTTCTTACTAGTGAGACTCAGGGGAGCTCTTCTATTCAGAATACAGATGATCACTGTTACTAAACTGGACCAGCCAGTCCACATGCCCTCTGCATATTCCCTGGACAGCAACCCAATAACTAATCACCTAGAGCATAGGGAATGCAAGATGTAGCCTGGAAATTCTAGAGGGAATGGGCATCTATGGCTTCTACCCTCGTGGGAGTAAGAGCTAAGAGGGGAAAAGAGGACACAGCGAATTGACAAGTATTGGTCAACTTGTAACACCCAGCTGAACTGAACCAGTGTGGTACTGGGTATGCGAGGCCCACTTGAGGGTTGTTGCCAACAAAATAAAAAGGAAGACTAGAGAAAAAGAAGAAAAGCTGTTAGGGAGCTGTTAGCTGTCATGGAGAACCTTGTCATACTGGCTTTCCTGATATGAACTCAGCTGTCATCATCAAAGGAGCTTATCATCATCTTGTTGTCACCGGGAGTGGCTGTGGTCCATTTTGAGAATGCTCTGGTCCATACTTTGAGCATTGCTTCCTGGCTCCAGAAGGGAAGATGGTGTACTGTTCATTGCCCTGGAGAAGCTTGTCATGCTAGTTTTCCTGATATAAACTCAGCTGTTCTCATCATAGGAGGACTTCGGGACCTCCTTGCCACGGGATGGCTGTGGCTATTACTTTGAGTGTTGCTTTCTGGCTTCAGTGCAGATCCCTCAGCCTGCTGGCACAGATCCTTCATCCTGCTGGCACAGACTTTCTAGCTTCTGCCACTGACCTTTAGGCTTTCCCAGCACAGATCCTTGAAACAGGCCTGCACGAGACATTGTTGTGGGCTCTTGGCCTCCAGCTGGACTCATGGCAGGGCATTCTTACGGGCTCTAGGTCTTCAGCTGGACTCATGTGGACACTGCCATGGGATCCAGGCCCTCAGCTGGATTCTTTTGGTCTTAGTGTGTGGACAGATTTCCTGCACTCTCTCTGTGCATGACTGTTTGGGTGACTCTTATAAAATAATTCTATAAATTGTGTTCCCTGTATTATTCCCCTTGTAAAACCCAAACTACAACAGAAGATATGCAAACAATTAGTGGGAATACTGTACAGGCATAAAACAGAGGGTGTGAAAGGCAAAAATAAAGAATGGAACCAATGAGAGAGCGTCATCAGGATTGAATGACATGTCTGAAGGTGTCCTTTTGACAGAGGTGAAGTCAGAGTGACAGCTAACTGCACAGGGGTGGAGATGGTGATGCCAATAAATTTCTCCTGCAAGACAAAATGCAGATAGAAATTCTCCTTGATTCTGGTGTGCTTGAGGAGGGATAAAATGGTAAGTAAAAAGAAAACAAAATCAGCACGGTTCCCCCAAGTTGCCTGTTTCTCTGGTCAAATCTGACCACTCAGAGTTCCTTACAACCCCTCAGGAACAAGATTCTTGCAGGTACAGAGGGAAGCCTTCCTGATCCACTTCCTGCCATAAAAGCATGAACACTAGTGAAAACACAATTTTAAAACAAAAAATAAGCTATGATTATCTGACTTGAAAGGAAATGAATATATCGTGCTACAAATTTGTAATTGTAATACAATTTATGTGGTGCAAAGGAAAAGTTTTGCGTAGATGAAAAATTTGGAGAGAAAAATAACCAATCAGCTCCTAGTAGCTTGGTAGTATTGTTAGAGAACTGAGAATTTGTTTTTTAATGCCTTTTCCCTTTTATCTTCCATTTGCTCAAGTATTTTTTCTGGATTTCAAAGAATTACATTAATTACAGTCATTGGTTTATGAAATTCTCATGGGTTCATGCATGGCTTGTCTTTATTTATGTATTTAGCTTATTTAAGTGAAATTCCCACCATCATCAGAATGATCCAATGACTTTCTAACCACAGATTCACCATGCCCCAAAGGACACATGAATCTCTTTCTGTGTTCTGCCCCTCACAGGTTCATCATCTTGTGTGCTGAGCAGCCTGGATCCACTTTCATGTTCCCAGCCTGGAGCCTGCACAGCCTGGAGAACAGGCTTTGGTATTTTTCATAGCT